CCAGGATCTCCAATAGCACTAGAATCTACCCTGGGATGGATTTTGTCAGGACCTGTAGCTCAGTGCCCAGACATTTCGGCAACACACGCCAATTTCGTCCAATCAACTCATGTTCTGAATGTTATGCAAGATCAAATTTCCATTGAGGAGCAAGTTTCCAAATTTTGGACCTTGGAAAGTTTCGGAATATTAAAAAACGAATTGTCTGTTTACGAAGATTTCGAAGACGAAATTGAATTTTCAGAAGGCCGATATCAGGTTAAACTTCCTTGGAAAAAAGACCACCCAACTCTTCCCGACAATTTCGAGCTTTGCCAAAAACGTCTCATTGGGCTTTATTCTAAACTGAAAAAGAATAGAAAACTCTTGAACGATTATGATTCCATTATAAATGATCAAGAAAAGAGGGGTATTATTGAAAGAGTTGATTCTCATTTTGTTGGTGGAGTTGGAAAAACGCACTATATCCCTCATCACCCAGTTATTAGGGAGGATAAAGAAACCACCAAAGTGCGTTTGGTTTATGATGCCTCTGCGAAGGATAAAACTGGTGTTTCGTTAAATCAATGTCTTTACCCTGGACCGTGTTTGCTTAAAACTGTCGCTGAAATTATTGCAAGGTTTCGTCTAAACCCAATCGCTTTAACGTCAGATATTGAAAAAGCGTTCCATATGGTGTCAGTTCACCCATCTGATAGGGACGTTCTTCGTTTTCTCTGGGTAGACAGTTTAGATGACGAGCAGCCAAAAATTATTACTTACAGATTTTCTCGTGTTGTTTTTGGGATTACATGCTCACCGTTTCTGCTAAATGCAACCTTGAAAAAGCACATTGAAAGCTATTCTACAGATTACCCTGAGGTGTGTAATAAACTTCTTAATTCGCTTTATGCTGATGACGTAAACTCCGGAGGACATTCTATCGAAGAAGTTTTAAATCTTTATGAAATATCTAAAAACCTCATGCTTGAAGGAGGTTTTCGACTCCGAAAATGGCAGTCAAACTCTAAAGAAGTTAGGGACAAAATCGAAGATTTTGAATCCAATTCTAGCGAATGTATAGAAAACATTTTACCTACAACAGAAGAAAACCAATCTTTTGCGAAGTCAAGTTTATCTATGGAAGAAATTGATAACAAATCAAAATGTGTAAAGGTCTTAGGGCTAAACTGGGATCTCGAAGAGGATGCCTTTGAGTTCAAGCTGTCAGAACTTGCAAAGTTCGCTGCCGAATTGATTCCTACCAAGCGCAATGTATTGAGGCTAGTTGCAAAGGTATTCGATCCTCAAGGTTTCATTTCACCTGTGACTACTCCTCTGAAGGTGTTTTTACAGAAACTCTTTAAGGCAAAATTGTCTTGGGATGAAACATTACCTGAAGCACTTGACAAAGAATGGAAATTTCTCATCTCCAAATTAGATAAAGTAGAATCTATTTTTGTACCAAGGTACTATTTTGGTTCCATCGATGGGAAACCTGACCTCGTCGAACTTTTCGGCTTTTGCGATAGTTCTGAAAGTGCTTATGTAGCGTCGGTATATGCTAAGATAACTGTCAACGGAAAAAGTCACGCGAGCTTGGTTATGTCTAAATCAAGGGTAGCACCTTTATCTAAAACAACCATTCCAAGACTAGAGCTGCTAGCT